GCAGGCATCTGGCCTGGGGCTGACTTCAGCCTGATGCTCTGGTAACATATCACTTGGGAAGCCTTTATCTTTTGGGGAGCTCTCTCCTGAGTGAGCAAAGGATGCCAGGATCAAAGAGGAGAGAAAGACCCAAAGCTGGGACAGCTATTCATGGGAATCAAAGCCATAGATAATACTTTAAGAGAATTGGGTGGAAACCTAAATACATACAAATGGCTTTTAAGAAAAGCAAGAAAAGTAATAAAAACTCTCCACAAAAGAGTTTAGCCTAACAAATTCCTTGACAATGTCTGTGGAAGAATACCAATGATTTTGTTTTTTATTATTTTTTAAATCAGCTTTTTCATTTAGTATACAAAAGGACAAGATTGAAACACCTTGCCCGAGGACCAGGGCTCCCTGGACATGGCCCAGCATGAGGAGGGAGTTCGGAGCAAGGGAGGAGACCCAGGCCCTGAGCACAGAGGTGTCCTAGGCTGAGGTCCTCCAGCCTGAGTAGAAGTTCTCCCTACTGGAGCGGGAGGTGGGGATGGAGGTGTCAGTGGCAGGCTGAGATCCATGAATTTCATAACTTCTTTGGCCCAAATCAGGCCTTCTTGGAAGGTTTTGCCTTCCAGGCCACATTTTCAAAGGGGAGAGGTCACCACACATGCCCAGCCCAGGAGGACATAGAAGGGAAGCTGGGCTGTTATGTGGGACACCTCCAAGAGTGGAGGTTGCATAAGCTTCAGGATGCTTATTATGTTTAAATAAATAGTTGTGTTGGGATGCAAAAGAAGAATTTCAGGATGTTTGTGATGCACAGATCACCACCATGGCACCACACTAATCACTGCATTCTCCAGATGGTGGGCGGGGGTCTCCATGGCTCTGACACAGTGGCCGTGAACCCTAGGGAGCTGACAGTCAGCACAACCTGCCCATCCTAGTCAACATTGCTCATACACACTGACTCCTCTAGAACTCAAGACCAGCCCCTGAGGTGTGTGACAATCTGGTAGAATGGAAAAGGAAAGCAGAGCATCTACACACATGTATCTGGACATAGACCACTTCTGACCCAAGAACTCATAACCCTTTTGGCAAAAGTTGGTTCCAAACTTTGGCCATTTAAAGGCGTTTTGCAACAAGAACACTCACATTCCATTGGCCAAATTGTCATACAGCCACGGACATTCAAATAAAAAGGAAATGTGGTCCATTGGGCGGGCCATGGTCAGGAAAGGAAGGTGAAAATTTGGGGACAAATAATACAATTTACTTTACTTTCCTAGCTTATTCTCCTCTCAAGGGAATGATCTTCCTTATTCTGTTACCAGTGCCGAGCACCATGCCTGGCAATAAAGACAAGAACCTTGAAGAAATGAGTATGCCCAGTTTTTTTCTAAGCATGGTTATGGTTCTAATTCTTTTCATTTTGGATCCAGAAGGATTTAGCTTTGAATCTAAGCACACTCATTTGTAGCTCAGGATTTTTGGCAATAATATAAATAACAGTAAAATTAAGAGACAATATTTCTTGAAAGTTTACTGTGTACTAAAAACACTGCTAAGGGTCTTAGGTTTGTGCTGACATTTCGATCTTCAAAAACATGAATGAGGTAGGCATTTCTCTCTCCAGGCTGTAGATGAGGTGACTGAGAATCAGAGAGGCTCAGGAATGACTCAATGTCACACAGCTAGGAGGAGGTGGAGCTATGATGTGAACCCAGGCCCCCTAAGCTCTAAAGCCTCCTTTCATGCACCATGTTGTAGCCCTGCTACATGCTAAGGTAAACCCAACTGATTTCACTTTCTTCATCTGTAAAACAGGAATAAACAAGAACATGGCCACTCTGTAGAATTGTTACCAGGTTCACAGAAAAGTCCTATATCAATAGCCTGACCCACTGAAGCTTGCACTCTGGGCACTCAGCAACTATTATGTCCTTCTATTTTTGCATTTCATATCTGACTCCTGTTGCCAGACTGATGGAAAGTATCCTGAAGATGTGATGCTCAAAATCCACAGTTATAAGTTTGTTAAACCTACACTACTCAACCACTAAGACTCTCCTAAGCCCTCCACTGAAATTTTCTCCAAAACCCAACCATTAGCAATGGATTTCTAAAACCCTTGGGAAGACTGTCCCAATGGCTCAGCATTTCCCCTGGCTCCTGAGGTATTCATGAACCTTTATGGATTCTGTAGTTAGCCTCCCCAGAAGGAGGAGGATTTATAGAGGAGTCTTGAGGCAGGCACATCCACATCTCAGTTGAGTAGGTGGACAGAAAGCAAGCAAGTGGCAAGAGTAAAGTTGGCAGAGTGATCTGTGAGGTGCCATGCCGAGGAGCAGGGTGGGTCTTCCCATACTCTGCTCAAAAATTTCAGACATCGAGGGTGGTAGGAGCAGTTTCTCTGCCAAATCAAGGGATATTTGTTTTGGTGATCACAGTGTTGGACAAGAGGTGGGAGAAATATTTAATGAGTACATACTGGGTGAGAGGAACTTAGACAAGTAAGGCTACAGGATCCTGAAATAACAGGTCCATTTTACAGTCAGAAAACAGAGACTCTGAGAAGTGAAATAACTTGAGCAATTTTATACAGATAAGACTCCAAGGTGGGGACCTAAGTCACCTCACCTAAGGTGAGAACTGAGCTCACCTCCTCCATGGACACACCAAATCTACACCTATTTGTAGAGCAGATCCTCCTGAAAGAAAACTGAGGGCAGCCTGAACAGTTTCTGCACAACAGGAGACAGACAGACAGAGTCATCATGGCACAGGAACCACCCTTCAGGAGCATGCTACCTGCAGTGGGGAGGGATAGTTTTGGGGGCTGTAGGCTGATTGGTCTTCCCTGGGTCACAGAAAAGAAGCTGCAGTTTATCTTATTTTTATTTTTTAATTTTTTATTGATTAATTTGTCAGATAGAGTTGGAGAGCAAGAGCGAGCATAAGCAGGAGGAGCAGCAGGCAGAGGGAGAAGCAGCCTCCCCACCGAGCAAGGAGCCAGATGTGGGACTCTATCCCATGACCCTCTGGGATCATGACATGAGCAGAGGGCAGACGCTTAACTGACTGAGCCACACAAATGTCTCAAGAAGCTGCAGTTTAAAGAGCAACTAGAATGTGAAGGATCCACCCCAAGAGCCCCCGCCCCCAAATCGGGAGGGGGTGTTGCTAGTCTCTTTCTGTGTTGAGGCACTGGTAAGCACCATGGGTCACATTTCCCTCCACCTTGATAGCATGGACAGAAGCAGGGTTTGAACACCCTATACAGCTTGTCACCTCCATGAGCCCTTGGTCCCCAGCCTACTCAAACCCAGCTGTGCCAACAAGGCAGTCCCAGCATGGCACACACTGGGACGTCCCTGGTCAGCATCAGTGACAGCTCCTGACAACAAATCGTTGAGACACAGGTGCTAAGCACCCCAGAACACTCCAGGCCTGCAGGACTCCGACTTCCTTGGTACCCCTTGTAAGGAGGTCTGTGTGACCTCCTGGGCCACTACTGCATCAGCTGCACCTGCCCTGAGAATGAACCCGTTATGTGGAAAGCCCAGAACACACCAGCCCACATTCTGTCAGGACACTCAGGATGCTGAAGACAAAGGGACACACCAGCTTTTGCCCACTTGAGACTCACCCATCCCTCTAGGACATCCTGGGCACAGAGAACCCTTCCGAATCCTGAATGCACTTCAGCTATAGCTACCCTGCCAAAGTGCCTTCTCTGCAGAGAGCCCTGGGACACCCCAGCCTACACCTACTTCAGCTACAACTGTCCTGCCAGGGTACCCCCTGTGTAGATCACCCCAGGAAACCTCAGCTCCTGATCCATTTCCGTTCCAGCCACCCTCTGCACAGAGAACCCTGTGACACCAGATATATCCACTTCAGCTTCAGCTAACTGACATGGATACCCTCCATGTGAAGATACATGCACCCATATGTTTATGGTACCATGACTTTCAATATCCAAGATATGGAAACAACCCGGGTATCCACCAGAGATGAATGGATAAGGGCTGCCCTTCAGCCTAAACACCACCTCCCTACATTCCTAGCCATTTGGAAGAAGAAGCACAAGACTCAGAATGTGGGTTTTCATACTCTTCATGAGATCACACAAGGTTCACCAAATCATTCCAACCCCTTTAAAGCATGTTGTTGCTCATACGACTTTACAAGTTAGAAAGGCTTGTTTGTCTTATCAGTCAAATAGTGTTTCCATCAGGGCCACTGCAGAATACAAAACAAACTTTTGTAGGGATGTTAGAAATTACAGATTTCATAAATACATCACAGAGATAGTATAAGTCACCCTGGTACAGATTTATGAATGAGAGGCACAAAACATTGAAACATGGAGAGAGATTGCTCACCAAGAAACACATAAGTCTTTAGTCAATATAACTCCAGAGGCAAGCCTCTTCCATGTTGTACACTCAATGATCAAAAATTAAAGCCACACATAGCCAGCTATTGATCTTATCAGTGGAAATGCACTTTATACACTTAACCACAAAAAGAATCCTCAAGTTCCTCCAGCATTTTATGTCTGATCTGTCAAAGCCTGCCTTCCTGATGCTGAACCCAAAGCTCTTTTGTTTGGGACCCACTTCAACATCCCTTCATGCACCGGGACACTCCCATCAGGAAATCCTTGAATGTCTCTGTAGAAAGATGGTTGCCTGCCTTCCCTGGGGTGCATGAGTCAGGACAACTTGTAGACATGTATTCCAAGTTTGATGCTAAACTTGCTCCTGAGAAAACATACAATAACCAAGCTATCACAGTGAACGAGGCCTTCGGCACCGCTCAGAGAGTCTTTAGGGTGCTGTGGATTGCAGTAAGCTGGAAATCATGGACAGATCAGTGCGGGCTGACCTCTCCGGGCTGCTGGTCACAACTGAAGCAGATAGCATCGTGGGTGTCATTTCCCTGTCAGACAGGGGGCAATCCCTGATATTCATGCCCACAGGTGCCAAACAGTAGGAGATAGAAGCAGAATGGCTACTGTGCATGGAGCAGACCTTGGAGAAAATGTGAACAAAGATTGTGGGTCAGGGTTTGCCTCATGAACATTGACAATGACAGAAGACAGTTGAATGGCTAAGAATGTGTATCAGGGTTTGGTGATGGGTATTTTTCCCAGTGATGTTATAACCCAGCATAAGTAACAGATTTTATGTGTTTCAAGTTACAGGAATTGCATTAAACCATTATTTTAAGACCTTTGTAGAATTTCAGATGTTATATTTTATTAAAGTTCACTGCATCCTGAATTTTTTTAATTTTTCATCTCAAAGAATTCACTGGTCTGCAACAGGTTATACGACATAAGGGAGAGCATGGCCTATTCAGACCTCGTGCCCTATATCAGCACATGGGTTATTTCATCACTATAGCCTGTGGCAGTGGGAGCCATGTGGGACTGAGCTGTGAAAGCCTTTCAAAGTTTCTCAAACCACTTCTTTTCATTATTTTTATGGAAATGCTCTAATTTGAATATAAATAGTTAATTTGTAAAACATAAGGACAGTCTTCTGTTTAGTGTTTTTTCTGATCTATAATGTAAACAAGTCTGCTTTAAGACAGGTTTATTTATTTCTTCTTTCATGCAATATTTTACACAACTTGTAGGGTGAACTTCCACAAAGCCATTAAAAACCATTGGTTGCTATTGTAAATGGCAACTTCCTCATTTATGTTTGGATCTGGAATGGATAGTACTTCGAATATAGACACTGTTAGAGTTGAAACGCTGATGTTTCCAAAGCATGTGTGGAGACCTGCTCTGCTAGACTGGAAACAGGCAGCTGGTATGAGGAAAGAAAATCCTAGGAAAACGTGGATTTTCTCCTTGTGTTAAAATGTCAAACCATGATGTCTCTATGACTGCTGATGGATTGTTGTTGCAAAGTGTTATTATGGCATATGCCCTATTGTCATGGAGTGAAGAGAAACAATGCTTCCTAATGTAAGTCCTCTAAAAATGTCCACACTGTACATAGTTATTAGCATAGTGTGCTTTTTCTTGTTTTTGTTCTTTTTGGAAGATTGAAAAATTAAAAAAAAAAAACAACTTACTGTCTGCCAAAAAATCAGATGAATGGATAAAGAAGAGGTGGTATATACACACAATTGATTATTACTCAGCCATAACAATAAAGGGTGAGATCTTGCAATTTGGAACTACATGGATGGACTCAGAGGGCATAAACAAGTGAAATAGGTCAGAGAGAGAAAGACAAATACCATAGGATTTCATTCCTATGTGGAATCTGCAAAGTAAAACAAATGAATAAACCACCAAACAAAAAACAGAATCAGACATATAAATACAGAGAACAAACTGATGGTTGCCAGAGGGGATGTGAGGGATGTATGGGAGAAATGGGTAAAGGGCAGTGCGAGACACAGGCTTCCCATTATGAGATGAACACCTGAGGGGGATTAAAGGAAAAGCATAGGGAATGTGGTCAATGGTATTGTAACAGTGTCTCAGGTGACAGATTAAAACTATACTTGTGGTGCGTGTACAATATGGTAAAACTTGTCCAATCACTATAATGTCCACCTGAACCTAACATGATATTTTCTGTCAACGCAGCTTCAATTAAAAAAAATAGTAAGTCAGAAAGAATATATATAAAACAGAATTGGGTTTGTCTGAGACACACAGAAACCCAAATGCAATCCAGCTGCAATCAGCCTCACTCAGCCAGTCTAGGGGCTGCAGGTAACTCTGGTCTCTGGACACACTCCGCTCTTATCATCTGTGATAATTTACTTCCAGTTCCCTTCTTCACTGATTTCTCTTTCAGCTTCCTTTCCGGGCTTTTTCCTGTGCAGTCCCTTTGGTTGTGTTCAGTCCTAGCCCACATGCCCTTCTCTTCACGGTCCTCATGGGGAAGCCCATCCATCACCTGGCTTCAGAGAGTACCTCTCTGCTCTTAATCTTCTCTCCCCTGAGCTCCAGACCCTGTGTATCTGCTCTGTGAGGAGATAGCTCCATCTGCCAGCTCAGTCCTTCAACAAATAATTAATGGGGGATTACTATGTGCCAGTGAGGAACAAATATGGAAGGTTCCTGAACACATTCCATTTTTTTTTTTTTTTTTTTTTTTTTAGTTTTCAGAGTCTAAATTTAGGATTGCATCAGTTGCATAGAACACCCGGTGCTCATTCCATCAAGTACCCTTCTTAATGTCCATCACCCAATCACCCTATGTCCCAGCCACTTCCCCAACAGCAACCCTGTTTGTTCACTACAGAGGAGTTTCATATGGTTTGCCTCACTCTCTGTTTCCATCATACTTTATTTTTTCCTTCCCTCCTTAAAATCCACATATGAGTGAAATCATATGGTATTTTCTTTCACTGACTTATTTCACTTAGCATAATACCATCTATGTCCTGCAAATGGCAAGATTTCATCCTTTTTGGTGGCTGAGTAATATTTCATTATATATATAAAACATAGGTTGTTTACCAGATTTCTAAAAGATGAAATTTTGCACTCCGCTACTCATAATACTTTACAGTAGACTCCTCAGGCTGACTCCCTCCCCTCAGCTGTATCCTCAGCTATGTCACACCAGATTCAAATCTCCACACTTCCCCCTTCTGATTGGATACTGGCTATGAAGACTGTGAACCTGGTGACAGGCTAGAATTGGTTTACCCCTTCTAGGAGAGCTGAATATCATTCTGGCAATGAGGCAATGACTTGTGACACAGCTTCATCATTTCCAGGTTTCTTTTTATTGTGGGAAGATGTACCAAACACAATCTCTACCCTTTTCTAGACTTATATTTAAACTGTGATGGATGAGTTGAGAGTAGCATTTGTTCTACTACGATGTGGTCTGACTAACCCCACATGTGTGACCTTTCATGGGGTCTAATGGCTCATATCTTCATTAAAACCAGTGTCAGCATTTCAGTGAATGGTGACTCTGGGTATAACATATAGCTTTGTATGGTAGAGTCTTTCAGGCTCACCATGAAATTCACTAAAATACATCCCAAATATTAACTTCTTACCATGAAGGAAAATTGTCCTGTTTCCCTGAAAACAGTTTCTAGGCAATGATGTCATGAAGGTCATTGAGAAGCCATCAGTCATTGGCCAGGCAAACGTCATGGTGAATGGCCACCAAATGAAGCCAAACTGACAGCACCCTGGTGATTGTCCAGGGCATGGTGGTGACATCACTAGAAGGCATTGTGATGCCCCAGGGCTGTTATAAGAGCATGGCCACAGCCCAGGCTGCACTGAGGAGAGAGATGGTGCATCAGTCACATCCCAGGCTGCACTGAGGAGAGAGATGGAGCCACAGCTCTTCCTGCTATTCCTCGACTTCTCTGCCCTGTTTTCTGCCCCTGCTCATGGTCAGCCCCCTGCCCCCTGCTCCTGTCACAGTCCTCTCTCCAACACTCTGCAGTCCGCCTTAATGTTTCCACCTATCTTTTTGCCCCTCTGGGGACCTGAGTGTCCCCAAAACTGCACCCGGTGACTGCCAGGTCTGTTTCCCATTGTGAGTGTGGACCAGCTGCTCAAGGACACACTCCCATGTGGCATATGGGAGTGGGACATTAGTAATCAGAGAACAGTGGATTCTCAGCCAGCTGGGCCCCCACCACTGGGGTCACAACCAGGCCCATCACACGAAAGCTGAGCATGTCCTGAGGGAGCACGGGGCACACAAAAACTCTGGAGCCCTCCAAATTGGCTCAGCACAGGATACATGAATGCCCTGAACATCCAGCTGACCCAGATGTGCACAATGTGTACAAGGCCTCCAGACACCAGGCAGAGAGGGAGTTTTAGGAAGAAGTAAGTTCTGGGAGAAGGAATCCCCACATTGCCAGACACAGTGAGAGTCCTTGGAACGCAGGCCCTCAGACCATGAGCTCTCTAATCCAGCTCAGCAGTGGAAATACTAATGCCCCAGACACCTGGCTGAGCAGGAGGCCACAGAACACCAACACTTGAACACAGCAGAATATAGAGAAATTCAGTCTCCAGAACAGAGCACCCAACATTAACCCAAAGACTGGGAGCACCCTGAACCCATTTGACACTGGGCAGGGTCACATAGACATGGGGTGGACCAGGAACCCTCATACCACAAGCTGGCCAGCCCAGTACAGCACAAGAGAAGTAAGTCCAGAGAACATCAGGCTTGCCAAGTGCCAAAAATTATGAGCCCTGCATCCCAGCTCAGCACTGGGAAAAGGACGTAACTGGACAGCAGGCTCACCATGAGGATTTGGACCTGCAGACCAACAAATCAACTCTGCACTAGGCCAAGAAGACACCTGGCAACAGGCCCAAGATAGGCCCTTGGACAGGGACACAAACAAAATAGCTCTGCACTAAGCCAAGTACGCTCCTGGACAGAGAGAACACCATGTGCCCTTGCACATGGAGAACAACAACTCCAATGTGTGCTAAGCCTAGCAAGCACCTTGACAGTGGGTTCACCATCTGCTCCTGGACATGAATGCCAAAGTCTCAGCACTCTGCTCTGCAAAGCAGGCACCTGGTTGGCAGGCTTAACATGTGCCCTTGGACCTGGAGACCAACAAACAGCTCTGCACTAGGCTAAGCAAGAACTTGGACAGAAGGCTCAACATGTCCTCTTGGACCTGGAGCTTACCAACACTACTCCACCCGTTGCCAGGTATTCACCAGGACAATGGGACCACTATGTGCCTTTGGACCTGGAGTCCTGTTACACTGCTCTGCATTAGGCCAAGAAGTTGCCTGGACATTGACCTCACCTTCTGCCCTTGCACCTGGAGACCGATAATGCAGATTTGCACTATTCCAGGCATGCACCTGGGCAGCAGGCTCACCCTATGCCCGTGGACCTGGAGACTACCAACCCAGCTCAGCACATTGCCAAGAACTCACCTGGACAATGTAATCACCATGTGTCTTTAGACCTGGAGACCTGTTCCACAGTTCTGCATTTGGCCAAGAATTTACCTGGTGAGTTGCCTCACCTCATGCCCTTGCACCTGGAGACCAACTTCTCAGCTCTATGCTTGGTCAAG